TTTGTCCAGCCTTTGGGCAGGAAAATCTTGTTCATCTTTAACCCCCATCCCTGGGCAGTCTTCCCCCCCCCCCCAACTTTCTTTTACTTTTTTGCAAATTAGCTATTTTATTGCATGAAGGGAACAAATGTCTCAACATTTTTTTTTTATTTAATCAGATTCTGTTTTTTTTTTTTACAAAGATTTTCCCCTGCTCTGTGCTGTGCAGATTCAGAAATAAAATGCTTATTGTGTGTTTATCACATGTGTTTTATGTTTGGATTAAGGTTGTTTGCACCAGGCTAAAGCAACACCAAATTATAGTGATGCACTTTAGAAAAAGTAGATAAATGACTTGCAAATTATATACTCTGGTTTAAAGAAGTTTATAGAAAATACATTATTTTTCTAAACATTTATTTATTAAGCATTTTTTCTATGTAGCAGATGATGTCACAAAGTCAGAACAGAAAGACTGTGTGTTCTGGAAAATTGTCTTAAATGTACTATTCATAAAAATACGAGGCAAGTTTCACAACATCAGCTTCCTTACCTACTTATCCCTGAAAGCAGTTAACTTGTTTTGGGTACAAAGACATCTCTAATAGGGAGAATGATTCTGGTCAAAGAGGCAAGAAGTTTATACAGTTAAAGCAAAATGTCTTTGGTACATCAAATAAAAAAGACTGACCTTTTTTTTCTGTGTCTCAAGTTAAATCAGAAAAAAAACTTCTCTTTTTTAGCTCAGTTGGAATTACCAAGATTATTTCCATTTGCTAAATGCCACAATGAAATGGTAAGAAACTGTCAGATTTATTTAGACAATCAGAAGTTTACATACAGATTTACTGTCTTGGTAAGCCATGAGAGGAATCCCAAGTAATGATGCAATGGCTTTGGGAACCTCTGAGAGGTTAAGTGACACCTTTGAGTTAACTGGATGCACACCTGAAACACGCTGCTTCTTTGACACAATGAGAATGTCAAGAGAAATCACCCAAGATATCAGAGAGAGCATTATGGTGCTTCACAAGTTTGGGTCATCCTCGGGACCAATTTCCGGATGATTGAAGGTGCTGCATTCATTTGTTATACACAAGTGATGTGGAGATCCAACCATTACACCGATCAAGACAGGTTTTGTGTTTTGGCGATGAACATGTTTTGCTCTGAAATGTGCAAATCAACCCCAGAACAAAAAGCCAAAGACCTTGTGAAGATGTTGGTTAAAGCTGGTATAAGACTGTCACTTTCCACACTAAAATGTGACCATGGGCTGAAAAAAACACTGAAGAGGAAACCTTTACTGGGGAAATATATCTATGTACGTACAATTTTGATCCTTGAAGAGATTAATAAGTAAGTATTTGACATTTGTTTTCTCTCTCATTTTGACATTTTCACATATTCAACAAGTTTACACAATTGACTCACTCACTTACTTGGTCTTTATTATTTCCGCTGTTTCATCTGTCTGCCAGCCTTTATGTCCAGGGGTACCCTCTACGCCCAGATCTGTTTCCAAAATGAAGCAAAATTTATGCTCAAGTGGTTGGATATAATTTATAATGCCACAAAAACATGGCATTATAAATCAGTTTATTTTTAATACAGATCCCTTGATATGAAATAATTACACCTGAGTAAATTAATCAATTTTTAATATAAAGTAGCCTGAATGTCAACAGTAACAAAGCATAGGCTATTGGCTAT